ATACGACTATAATTTCAAAAAAACAAAAACAACCAAATCCTGACATTACGAACCGTTTTGTCGATCGGAGGTCTACTTTGAGAAGAACATTTTTATATAACTAACAACATATATAAACACAATAATGAAAGTCAAAAGAGACGACGCTTAATTCAATAATTTTAAATACTTAAGAGATCCTTGTGATTGATCATCATAAGAACACATACAAACACAAAATTACAGCGATAACTTTACAATTTTCCTCCTATTTTTCTTACTGTACTACACAAACACTAAATTAATACAAGTTCTACAGACAGGGAAGTTTGGTAAACATATAACCGAATTTCTCGAGTCGAATATGAACCACTAAACTAATAACAACTCAAAGAATTTGAACTATATATAGCCAGTCCTACATAAAAAAAACAAGATACAAAACAAATAGCACAAACATATTGCAGGGTTGAGGAGTATATTAAACACTAGAATAGGGCGGTATATAAACCCTAAATCAATATTTAATAAAACAAGTTTAAAACGAGTTTAAATAAAGTTTTAATAAGTTTAAATAAAGTTTTAATAAGTTTAAATAAACTTAACACAAACAACCAACAGACACACACACACACACACACACATATATATATATATATATATATATATATATATATATATATATATATATATATATATATATATATATATATATATATATATATATATATATAGGGCAACAATAATACATCAAACCATTTAACTTTTGGAATTACGGGGTACCTCATATGATGTTAATATGAGAAGTACGGAAGTACGACACCAATAAACTTTGGGACAAGAACATTTTTATAGAACTAACAACATATATAAACTCAATAATGAAAGTCAAAAGAGACGACGCTTAATTCAGTAATTTTAAATACTTAAGAGATCATTGTGATTGATTGATCATCACAACAGCAAAACAACATATACAAACACAATAATGCAGTGACACAAATATGGCCTTGCGTAATTTATAAGAACATAAGGGTACGATACCTATGCTACAAGACTCGCGTTCGGTAGAACGGGTCGTACCGGATATCCTCAAAAAGGCATGGCCAAGCAAGAACATTACGAACACAAGGAAACGTGAAAGCATACACTACATGCACACACACAATAATATAAATATACAAATATATACATAACATGCTAATTACAGCAACTATCCTCCTTCTATTTGTCTTACTGTACTACATGAACGCTAAATTAATATAGGTTCAACAGACTGGAAAGTTTAGAAAACATATAACCAAATTTCTCTAGTCGAATATGAACCACTAAATTAATAGCAACTCAAAGGATTTGAACTATATATAGACAGTCCTACAAAAAAGCAAGATAACATACAAAACAAATAGCACAAATATATAGCACACATTGGACAATACTGATCCCTGACAAGGATCACTAATATTAAATAAAACTCCAAAACCAGCCAGGGTTGAGGAGTATATTGAACACTAGAATAGGGAGGTGTATAAACTCTAAATCAAAATTTAAAAAAAAAACAAATTTAAATAAACTTAACACACACACGCATATATATATATATATATATATATATATATATATATATATATATATATATATATATATATATATATATATATATATATATATATAAATATATATATATATATATATATATATATATATATATATATATATATATATATATATATATATATATATATATATATAAAGGGGGCAACAAAAATACAACCATTTAACTATTGGAACTAGGGCGTGCCTCATATGATGGTAATCTGAGAGGTACCACACCAATAAACTTTGAGACCTAGATATCTCCAGCTGTAAAGGTATATAATTTATTCGTTTTATGCATTGTAAGTTATATATTGTATTATCAGGTTTGACTTTGTATTTATGTCGCTTCGACTAATTTAATAAATGCTGTTTAGTAAATGCTAATGTTCTATTTTCTCTGTGATTAAGCACGAACTCTACAAGATTGCATTTAATGAATGACCGTTCAGTACATTATGAATCTTATGGTTGACCAATTTACTTCTGAACCTGTTTAGTGTTTGTTGTTTTCTGATGCAAGACTGATAATGTATATCACTTACTGTATATACCGTCGTTGCGAACTACCGTATATACCAGTGTCACCTCTAGTACACGGTATTGGATATATTTTCAGCTCTGTTGGTGTATAGCTGTGTTGGTGCAGTGTTGGTGTTGGTGAAGAGCTGTGTTGGTGTTGCAGTGCTGTGGTGGTGTGCTGTGCTGTGCTGTAGAGCTCTGCTGTAGAGCTATATCTATGCTGCGTTTGCAGTGCTGAGCTGTGTGCGTATGCCGTATACAGCTGTGAAGAGCTGCGTATGCTTCGTGTGCAGTGCTGAGCCGTGCTGTGCGTATGTTTTCGAGTGCTTCGAATAGACTAACGTTGCTAGTCGGGTTGAGGGAGATCAGGCGTTGCAGACCAAAGTGGAGGCGCCGATCGTCTAACCCAGAAATCAATGGTGGTCGGTGACTACAAATCTTTGCTTGTTTGGCCAGTGGAACTGGTAGCAAAGAGTTAAGGGAGTATAGACATTGTTCCAGATATATATATATATATATATATATATATATATATATATATATATATATATATATATATATATATATATATATATATATATATATATATATTTATATATATATATATATATATATATATATATATAAATATATAGATATATATATATATATATATATATATATATATATATATATATATATATATAAATATATATATATATATATAAATATATATATATTTATATTAGCCTTGGGCTAATGTAGGGTTTGTTTCGTAATACCCAGTGTTTTGCTATTGTGAGTAAAATTATCCACTCGTTATTTTAAACGAAATATCATTTGTTTTGCTATTATGAGTAAAACTATCAACTCGTTATTTTGAACGAAATATCATTTGTATTTTACTATTGTGAAAGTCATACTTCTGTTTTGTGAATCGTTCTTTCTGTGTCGTGGTATCGTATTTGTTGCATTTAAGATCATGGTAATTATGTTAGTCCCATATTGGGACTAATTATGTTAGTCCCATATTGGGACCCATTCACGCACTTGATATTTTCATATAACATTAAATATTTTATTGCATTCCCATCAATGGTGTTTTGTTATTAATCCGAAAATCCCAAACTCGGTTATCTTGTTACACACGTCGTATATGGAGGACAAGATATCCAAAGTAAATATAGAAACTTAGTCTATACGTAGATTACGTTGTCAATTTGACCTTCACCGCTACTGGCAGTGCAATGCAAATTGCCACTTTTCAGCAGTGTATTGTGGACCAGCTAGTGAGCAGATTTGTGTTAAAATCTTGTTTAAGGTGGGGTTTACTTTATATTGCAAACTTAACTGTCATATTTAAGATAATTCTTCATCATTAAATAATGTTGATTGCAAGACACAGTAGTGATATTCTTTATCATTAGATATTGTTCATTTCTAAACCTTATTGGTAACTCTTTGTCATTAAAAAATGTCCTTTTGCTAGGCCTCATAGGGCAATTCTTTGTCCTTATTTTGTCATTAAATGTCGTTAGCTAGGCCTTGTAGGGTAATTCTTTGCACATAAATAATGTCTGTTGCTGGGCCTTGTAGGGTAATTTTGTTATTAAACGTCGTTTGCTAGGCCTTGTAGAGTAATTCTTTGTCCTTAAATACTGTCGATTTCTGGGGTTTGTAGGGTAAATCTGTCAGTCAATAATGTTGTTTGCTGGGCCTGGTAGGGAAAGTCTTTTTCATTAAATAATGTCGATGGCTGGGCTTTGTAGGGTAATTGTCATTAAATGCTGTCCATTGATAGGCCTTATAGGGTAAGTCTTTGCCGTTAAATAATGTTGGTTGCTAGGCCTTGTAGGGTAAGTCTTTGCCGTTAAAAACTGTTTGTTTCTAGGCCTTGTATGATAACTCTTTGTCGTTAAATACTCTCGGTTGCTGGGTCTTGTATGGCAATTCTTTGTCCTTAAATATTGTCGATTGTTGGGCCTTAATAGATAATTTTTTGTCATTAAAGAGTCTCGATTTTTAGGCCTTGTAGGGTAAATCTGTCATTAAATACTGTCGATCTCTGGGCTTTGTAGGTAATTCTTTGTCATTGAATACCGTGGTTTGCTGGGCCTAGTAGGGAAAGTCTGTCGTTAAATAATGATGATTGTTGGGCCTTGTAGGGTAATTCTTTACCATCAAATAATGTTGTTCGCTAGGTCTTGTAGGAAAAGTCTGTCATTAAATAATATCGACTGCTTGGCCTTGCGGGGCAAATCCTTGCATTAAATACTGTCAATTGCTTGGCCTTGTGGGAAAAGTCTTTGTTATTAAATAATATTGACTGCTGGGCCTTGTAGGAAAAGTCTGTTATTAAATAATGACTTCTGGGCGTTGTATGGAAATTATTTGTCATTAAATACTATCGATTGCTAGAACTTGTAGGGTAAGTCTTTGTCATTAAATAATATCGTTTGCTTGTAGGGTAATTATTTGTCGTTAAATACTATCGACTCCTGGAACTTTTAGGTTGCGTCTTTGTCATTAAATACCGTCTATTGCTAGGCCTTCTAGTGTTATTCTTGTAATTAAATGCTGTGGGTCAATTTGCTCGGTCTTGTAGGGTAATTCTTTGTCATTACATACTGTCGATTGCTGGAATTTTTAGGGTAATTCTTTGTCATTGAATGTTGTTAATTGCTAGAATCTGATTTTAGATTTCAACGTAGCTTTTAACAAATTTCCAGTCACATCGTTACGATGTCTGCAGTGTGACAGTTTATAGTGATGTCTAGCACTGAGGCATCCTGCCGCAGACATGTGACATCATGTCACACCCAGTCATATTATCCTGATACCAGGCCAACCAGTCATAATACTAACCTCTTAAAGCTGAGCGCCAAGCGAGGCAGCTGTAAGTACAATTCTTTAAAGTCTTTGTATGACTCAGCCGGGGTTCGAACCCCACGACCTCCCGCATCTGATGCGGACGCTCTAACCAATAGGCCACCGGAGGGATTGTTCATTGCTAGCTTTATCGGCCATGGAGCCAAAATTAGAATATGAAATTAATGGATGGAATAAACGGAGATCTGAGCAGAGATATAGATTAGAATAACACGACTCCTGTATACAGAACATTACAATTTGAGTAATTAGATAAACAAAATAAAAATTGTACAAGACGATACATCTACTTAAAAAAATAAACACAAAGTTATAAAAATGCAATAAGCAGTTACGTTTACATATAGATAGCAGATTTCATCGAATGAATGTCCGACATGTCCGCATAAACTTGGTTTGGGTCCACTACCCTTAGACTCCTCATACGTTGCTGCCTTTGCTCTCTCTCTCTCTCTCTCTCTCTCTCTCTCTCTCTCTCTCTCTCTCTCTCTCTCTCTCTCTCTCTCTCTCTCTCTCTCTCTCTCTCTCTCTCTCTCTCTCTCTCTATATATATATATATATATATATATATATATATATATATATATATATATCTTTCACTTTTATTTATGAGTGTAGATTGTAAGAGTCATGCGTCAATAACATATTATATGGCTAAACGTTTCCATTATTATTTATTGTATATTAAGATATGTAAACGTTAACAGTGACATTTTGACCTAATAAGGTTCTTGAAGGTGCTTCCGCTTCTTATCAGGTTTGTAAATTAAAATGGACTGTTTGTCTGAATTTGAGTTCAAGGTCTAGAATTAGAATTATCTATTTAAGAACTTGTTTGCGAATCTGATGAGAAAATTATCCTAACTGTAGTCATCTTATTGCGTCTTAGATTATTATATAAGTTTGAAGTAAACATAATTATTTCTTTCTTACTTTATGTCCATTTGAGTTCAGGTATAATTTGAGAGAAAATACTTATTCTCATTACGTAAAACGAGTAATACATCCTTTGGTTAACCTTGTAAGGTAAAACGAGTAATACATCCTTTGGTGGACCTTGTAAGGTAAAACGAGTGATCCGTGGTTAGTTCAAGGCAATATAGCGTCGCTGGTTCCAAAAGTGAATGTCAAACGGATACAACAATATCACTAGTGGCATATTAATGGACGATTTTGATTTAGGGTATTTATATAGGTTATGGCCCTCAATCCACTATGACTTGGGTTTATATTACGATACATCACACGTGTACTCACGTGAACCTGTGATTTATAATTTGTAAAAGTGATCATTATGCGACCATACCTGAGGATAAAAGTTATGTGGTATGCAATGAAGACCAGGAACCAGTGACCTTCCACGATTTCCTTGTTGCAAACTTTGCAAGATTTAACACTTTTGGACTTCTCGAGTTCTGAACAAATTTTGCACTGTATTGATATTCTCTGAACCATATATAAAGTTTGCTTATAGCGACTTGCACGCGTATACCAACAAAGATAAGATGTAAAGCAGCAGCAGGGAGGGCGAATCCTACAAATTTAGCGACAAAATCGTTTAAAGCCTCAGAATACCAAATGGAACCTTCCTACGAAATCTCATATTTTAACCAAAAAAAAAATTAAAGACCCCATTTGTAAAATGGAGCCTTAGCGATTTTGTCGCAAATACATTGTCATAACCACCCTGGAAATTGCTGCCATCTACGTCGCAAATATGTTGTCATTTCACCCTCCCTGCTGCTGATTAATACAAATTATTTAACCAAGTTATTTGTTAGCTTTTCACAAACAGACTAATCGATAATACTTCACCACGTAGATCAATTAAATTATTTGACTGATCGGTGAGTGTAAAATTAATTCTAGTCAGTAAATCATTTTGACATTGCATATAGACTGGATTAGTCGGATTTTCAACAATTAAAAATCCGGGGGGTACTGATGGCGCAAAGGAATAAAGAATGTAACTTTGTCGGGCTTGATTTGATTGTTCCATATTAATTTGATAACTTCCTTCGATTACATCACACGTTAAATTAAGTGCGATCACCGATGAAATATCCACATTGTTCGGTGCGATATGTCTACCGTCGCCGTCGGGAGAATTATTATAAGTGAGGATAATAGGCTTCGGCTGGCTATCTTTCCATGATTGATAAATTTTATTAAATCCTTCGTCGATGGCAGTTCTGAGTTTTTTCTTTAACTCGGGAACATTATATCCTGGTAATTTATAATTTGGATTGTCATTTATATTTTTTTATAATCTTGAGCTGAGCTAGTTTTTGAAATCGGGCTATTTTCATCAGTGAAGAGATTAGTAATCCTCGAATTAAATATTTCCATGTCATCGATGATTTTATTACCCGCAGCGACTACACTAGTAAACTAAGCTGGTGTAAGAAAGCCAGATCTTAACGAGGGTAATAACAACAAAAAATCATTATTCATTCTATCAAGGATGTGATCTTTAATATCTACAAATGTTGGACTTGTTTCATGTATTTCCAGAATTTCACCTTCCTGTGGGATATAATCATTAAAAAATGGAATTCTCCACACATCTTCACCATATTGATTCTTATATCGATATATTTTTGTGAAGTTTATATCCTCGAATTTTTTATAAGTTTTTGATGGATTTTCAGGTCCTATTTCATCAGTGACGTAATCAGATTTTACAGGCTCGGGCGTGGAATTACCAGCACTTCTAGGTGGATCTTCGGGCCATCCTAATACTGTTCTTATTGAACTGTTATAAATATCTACAACATACCCAGGAGAGCCTATTTCAATTGTAGATGATAGTGTTGGTTCATGAACTGTTATCGCAATTTTTGATTCTTTTTTAGTAATGGATTTTATTCTACGTTGTAATTCATTATTAATTTGCTCAATTTGATAGGATCCAGTTGGTATTGAAACAACGTTCCAATCTGGAGTGTCATCTTTTTTATTCCTATATGCAAATACCAGAGAATTATTAGGTCTCTGACCACCAAATGGAACCGATCTAATATTAGGCCAACTATGATACACTCGTAATTTTGCCAACGCGATTTCCTTTACTGAAACAGGTGAAGGAAAATTCACACTGAATTTAGGGTTTGTTGACGATATTGATATCATACTTGTTTTCCGCGGAGTGGTATTTTCTGCTATCCGCTGAAGTAGTTGAATCTCTTGCGACATTATTATTATTATTTACAATGTCTAATTTTGCAATAGATGAAAAAACGCTAGCGTTTTTAATCGTAGTATCATAAATACGTATCATCGCGGAGAATTCGTCTTCGGTAATTATCGTATCATCAATCGATGATGACATCAACGAGGATAATTGTGAGTAACCGTTAGATACTGCTTGATGTTTTACTATATAGTCGTTAAGTTTTTCTTGAGAACAGGATGATATTTTTTTAGTAATAGCATTTGCAATTCCAGCAAATGTTGTCACCGCGGAAATAGCAATTGGGACAGCAATCGGAGCTACCATTGTTACTGAAGATAGTATAATACCAGCACCGGCCATTATACCAGATACTGAGTATACTGTAACATCAATTACGGTAATTCTCCTGCGATACTTTTTAATTTTTATTTCATACTCATCAATGAGTGTTTTGAGTTTTGTTAAGAACTCTTTGACGGTATCATAGCGATATTGTAATGATCGAATCATATTATTTTAAAATCTCAAGTGGTTTCTAATTGTTAAAAATTCTAATTTAGATCAGCTACAAACTCCATGTACCATACAAATGATGTCTTATTTAAATTAGGATCAGTGCTTGTTATTGGAAACCGTTTGTATTCATCCAGGTCAATAGTCGTTGAAATCACGTTGTTGTATCCATATGAAGTCGATGATGATATATTAAACTGATTCAGTGACACTATTGTTAATCGATAAATACCCTTCTTTGACACAGTGAGAGTTATTGTATTCTTTTTAGGTTCCCAATCTAATGATCCAGAGAGAACTGTGTATATCATATTTATGATATTCCTCTCATGAGGAATCTTTATTCTTTCAAGTAGCGGAAGATTTTCTGTTTTAAATTTTGTAATATCCTCGATAGATTTTTTAATATTATTAATGTTATCTCTAATAATACTAAATCCAGTATCATTAATACTTTTAATATTGGATTTAATTTCATCAAAATTGGATTTAATTTCAGCGAGAGATGGAGAGGTTACCGCTGGTGTTCCAAAAAATTTATTGATAATATTTCTACGAAGGGAAGTATATGTTGTTATATGTTTTTCAAGTTCTTCATTTAAATTTTTTAATGCATCTGTGATTGTAGAAACAAATACACCTGGTTTGAGTTTTCCATCATTTGAATATAACACTATTGTATCTTCAACGACGTCACGTCTTCGTATTAAGACATCATCCAATGAAACATTACTAGATTTCAATTTGCCCTGGCGATCTTGAAATACAACTATTTCCCCAGGATCTACACTTGACAAATTTAATGTCTCGGCGATTTCATCTTCGATTATTTTTTTTACACTTTCGACAGCTAATTTACTATGGGTTTCTGTTTTTTTTTTATTCTGATAAAGGTCGTCCCCAAATATCAATCATTATACAAAAACGCTACGTTTTTCTAAATCATAACGCTATCGTTTTTGCCATTGCCTGCTAGTATATTCATTAACAACAACTTGTGGTGGTTTCCTTGGAAATTTAGATATCTCTGCAAGGACATTTAATACTTCACGACCGCATATCGGTGGATCATTTAACTGTTGTGTTGGTAGCGTGGAATAAAAAATTGGAGATGACTTTGTTATTGTGGATACATATCGCATGAATTCTTTTGGTGGAGCTAATCCATATGAATCAAAATATACAATTCCACGTGGATCAATTGCATATGCGACCCAATGAGTTCCTTTTCCGCTGCTGTTATCAAGATTGATAATACCCGTTTCATTTTTCATTGGTTTTGACGGTAATTGATCTCTCATGAAAACTCCTCTAAAGTTTTTTATTGATAATGATTTTACAGCATCAATTAAATCAAAATTGGACATTGGTGAAAATCCTAGGGATTTTTCCACTAGTAAGCCTTTCCTGGTATTC